GTTGATGTGCTGGGCGTGAACAGGTTTGCTGCAATTGAGTGTAAGCAGTAAGTAGGAGTCGTAAGGTCGTCGAGTGGCGACTACGGTGTGTGGTTTATCAACCTACGGGCTTTGCTACAGAGATATTTAGGTGGTGACTACACTGGTTCCAAGAGGTATATAAATTTCATGCTGACGTTTTTAAATAATCTGGGATGAAAATTTTATTCTTTTTTATGAAAAGAAACCTTAAAGCAAAAAAATGTATATGTTTTATTTGTTTGTGTGGATTAACTCATTTGGGTCGTATCGTCGTCGGCGATGCACGTATCAAGATGGTTCGTGTTTTCTTGTTGATGATGTATCGCATTGACTTCACTGCATGGAAGTGCAACCTTTTTATTGAAGGTGAACAGCTTGAGTTCTGAAGTAGAGACACATGATTTATTATTTCCAGTGATTCTTTGCAGCGTCTTAGCTGGACACTTCACTTGGACGAAGCCAAACTGGCAAGATTACAAAGTCGAACATCCTACTGTCGTTAGGCATGTGAAACGTTTGCAGGAACTGGGTCTTAGAGATCCTTGGGTGAGGTATGTCTCTATTTTAGTATTTATGTATTAACTCATTACGTTATAGAAATTATGTCTGGGTTTATTCGCCGCGCATTTTCAAAACGCCTTGGCAAATGTGCAAAAGTTGCTTTTTTAATCGGCTGCCCCATGGTTTTGCGATCGCAGTATTATACACAATTGGACAGTCAGCTTTTTTGAAGTGGTATAATGAGAATGGGTATGGCGAAGCTCACGTCAGCTAGCTCTTTGCTCCGTGCGTTGCGGTCTGATGTATGTTAGCTCTCAATTTTACGTATAAATTGCTTTATTTGGCATTCTTTCGCCGACATTTTTCACTAAGGGGTTCTTGTGTCTTCGAGCTATCTCGTTGAAGTAAGACTTTAAGTTCACACGTTAACAATTAGCTCTTCACTTGTCTCCAAGACCCGAAAAATTTGGCGTCGTCCATTAGTGATCCGGTTTGGGAGTACTTGAATGGTGGTCGAGATGCTTCACCGCCGGGTGTGATTCGATTCCGATGTTCCGGAGTGTCTGCGCTTCTCCCCTGGGTGGGCAGATCTTGTATGAGGTCATACTCAATGTGTTATGGAGGTGGAGGTCTCGAGGTCTGCTGCGTAATGAATCACCTGTCTGCAAAGTTTTTCTTGGTCTATGTCGGGACGCAATTGTGTT